CTATGTTTTCTTTTTTAGCATTTATTACCCTTACTTTCGATGTAGTTTACTTACTTGTGTACAATTTTCCTCCTGGTGTATAGGTGATTTACAGCGGTCCAGGTGTGCAGCAAAAGGACTGTTACACATATTCATATGTGTATCTATCCTTTCTCAGGTTCTTTTCCATTGTAATTTACTACAAGACACCAAGATACTGACTATAGTTCCCTGCGCTGGTAGGCTGTTTTTTTTTCTTTTTCAGTATTTATTACCCTTACTTTTAATGTAATTTACTTACTTGTTAGTTCACATAATTAAATTTTTCATTGACTTATAGCTGATTTACAGTGTCTTGGGTGTACAGCAAAGTGACTCAGTTACACACATACATAAATCCATTCTTTTTCAGATTCTTTTCCACTATAGGTTATGACAAGATACAGACCATAGTTCCCTGTTGTTGTTCAGTCACTCGTGTCTGACTCCTTGTGGCCCCATGGACTCTGGCACGCCAGGCTTCCCTGTCCTTCACCATCTCCCAGAGCTTGCTCAAATTCGTGTCCATTAAGTCAGTGATGCCATTCAACCATCTTGTCCTCTGTTGTCCCCTTCTCCTCCTGACTTCAATCTTTCCCAACATCAGTCTTTTTCTAATGAATCGGCTCTTTGCATCAGGTGGCCAAAGTATTGGAGCTTCAGCTTCAGCATCAGTCCTTGCAATGAGTATTCAGGGATGATTTCCTTTAGTTCCTCTGTTGTATTAAACACATAGCTCCCTGTGTTATATTAAAATTGCATTATCCGACCTGGAAAACCTGGATTTGCCTCTGAAGACTTTTATTTCACAGAGGCAGAAACCAAAGTTCAGAAGGAGAAATGACTCACCTTTAGTGATTTTACTGAGTTAGGGTTAAGGTTAGTATGCTTGACTCTAAACCCTAGCTTCCCAGTTGGCGCTACTGGTAAAGAATCACCTGATAATGCAGGATGAGACACAACCCAGACATTCTCCCTGGGTCGGGAAGATCCCCTGGAGGTGGGCATGGCAACTCACTGCAGTTCTTGCCTGGAGTATCCCATGGACAGAGGAGCCTGGTGGGCTACAGTCCACAGGTCTCAAAGAGTTGGATGTGACTGAAGAAACTTGGCAGCGCATTCACTCCCTGGGGTAGCAGCCCCTGACTCTCTGGGAAGTTGTTGGAAATGCAGACTCTCTGGAACATTGGAGCAGGAGTTGCATTTTAACACAATTCCCAGGAGCATCTTGGGTGTATTCTAGTTTGGGAAGCGCCACTCTAAGCTGAGCTGCCTCCTAATGAGTTTGTCTCATGCACTTTCTTCTTTTCCTCAAAAGGAATGCGGAGTAGCTGGGGGGACTTTGGGCATTCCAGGCACCCTGCCAGGAGGCCAGGACTGACTGCATGGGTGGAGAGGGCACTGCGGGCTTTTCCTGCCAAGGGGAAGGGAGCTCTGGGTGCAGACATAGCAGTAGAGCAGGGAGGTGGTGTCAGGGCAAGGAAGGGGAGACCCCGAGGTGGCCTCGCACTCAGGGTCACAGCAGCAGGGCCAGCACCCGCTCCTTGCATCCAGAGCTGCCTCGTGGCCATCCGGAGCCAGAGCTGGGAGCTAGTGACAGCTGGCACGGCCATGCCAAGCACGGTGCGCAGGCCTCAGAGCAGGTGCTCAGCCATGCCCCCTGCAGCAAAGCAGCAGAGGTGCAGAAATACTTAGGAAGGTGAGATGGGGTGGCTGCCCCAATGTGCGGGGGCCCACCCCCAACCCTGTCTTCAGCAACCTCTTGATGGGTGATGGCAGTTTGAGAAACGCCAGGGTGGGAGCAGTCACGACAAAATTTGACAAAGCCTTCAAATTGGGGTGCTTTATTTTTTTTGCCATTTTAAAAGATTTATCAGCACACCGCTGGATATTTACAATGCCCTGAATAAGACATTAAATGATAGTTAATACCTGCAAAGGTTCTAATTTATTCAGGGAAACTTCACAGACTATGCAGGAACAGAGCAGCAGGGAAACCCGCTCCCCCTGCACGCAAGTGTACATTTGCTATAGAAGCTCCATAGCAAACTCAGGAGCGTGTCCTGCTCAGGGGGCCTCAGCGTCAGCGCCCCTGCCTGCAGACGCTTAGCCCACACCTATTGCGGTTCCCACGCTGTGTCTGGAAGCGTTAAGCCTCTGCCTGGTTCTTCAGTCTGGCTCCAATGCCAAGTGGTCAGCTGGCTCCCCTCCTCACACAATGACTGGCATATGGCAGATACTGCAAAGTATCCTTTGAACTGGGGCTTCCCTGGTGTCTAAGATGGTGAAGACTCTGCCTGCAGTGCAGACCTGGGTTTGATCCCTGGGTTGGGGAGATCTCCTGGAGAAAGGAATGGCTTCCCACTCTAGTATTCTTGCCTAGAGAATTCCATTGACAGAGCAGCCTGGTGGGCTACAGTCCATGGGGTCGCAAAGAGCTGGACACGATTGAGTGACTAACACACCACAGCAGCAGCATTCTGTGAGCTGCACAATTTTGGACCGCATCTCCACACAGGTGGGTTTGCCAGGACCCCCCAGTAAAGGAAGTTTGGGGTGCAAACAGAACTGGTTCCCCACCTCCCAGGCTCTGTGCTCCTCCTCCACAGCTGACCCAGGAGGCTGCCAGGCTGGCCCAACTCTCCCTTAAAGCCTTGGGCGCGCAGCCCACCATTCCTGGGGCAAGTCTGATCCTGCCCCCGTCTCCTCATGACATCTCTCACCAGTCCTCACCCTTCACCCCACTCCTGGTTAAATATATGTGCCGGTAGGGTTTCAGGGTCTGAGATGCCTGGTGGCCCCCCTGGAATCAGAGGTGTCCAGGTCTCTGGGTCCTTCTGGGCCTTTATTCTAGAGCAATCTGAACATCAGATTGGAGGTGGGACACTGCCTCCTTCTATTCATCTTTTTCGGATGCTTACTGCCTCCCTGAGAAACAGCTACCTGCTTTGACCCACTTCTCCACTGGGAACACTGGGCTATTCCTCCTGCCTCCCCCCTCCCCCAACTCCTCCTGCAGCCTTTGCAGGCCTTCCAGTGAGCTGCACTCCCTGCTGCACCCTCAGCAGGATCCAGACAGGGATCTCTAGCCTCTCCCAGGCTGCCCTTTCTTACGTGGCAGAGTAAGGAGGGACTCCAGAGATCCTGAGGAGGAGTCCTTGATCCCCACACCTAGAGGGGGAAGGATTAGGAGAGATTCATTCATTCAGTGCACCCTGCATTTATCAGGCATCCCATCTACCTGCCAAACTCTGTCCTAAATGCTGGGAGTCCAACGATACACGAAACAGACAAAGGCCCAACACTCACTGAGATCACATTCTAGGGGAGAAGACAGAGGGCCAGACAAGGACAAAATGTGCCAAATATGACATACATATTTACAATGTTCTCACCTGTAATTGTTTACTTATATAAACAAAGTTCACAGACACATTCATATATAGAAGCAAAATTTTATCTATAATGAAAACATAAACAGCTATTTGTAAATACAAATATTTAAAATGAGCAAACAACAAATCTATATTAAAAATATATGCTATATACAAATAGATAAATGCTTAGGAGAAAAATAACTCAGGACATGCAGAGCAAAACTAAGTCTGTATTTCACACAGCGTGCTCCTGGACGGCTTGCCTGGGGAGGTGGCATCTGAGCGCGGACCACAGGGTGGAACTGGAAATGACACCGCAGAGCATCCTAGGCAGATGCCCGAGATGCGCAGAATGGGAAGGCAGAGCTGCAGCGTGCTGGGCTGTGGGGCTGTGCGCTCCAGGTGGGCACCCAGGTCTGAGTACCTAAGGCCTTTCAAGTCCCAGCAAGGATTTCCCATTCTGTATCTGGACTGGTCTCTCCTCTTCCTTAAGGGAAAAGCTGGAGGGCAGCTGGAGGAAGGCTCAGGCAGGCCTCTGGATTCCTCATCCCAGTTTTAGACTCAAAGGAACGCCTCCTCTAACACCCATCACTGCAGGCTCACTTACTCATATTTTATTCTAGTCCTTGGAACCCCACGAAAGAGTCATTTTTGTAAATCAGACTTTTGCACTAGCCCAGATCCCTTTTGTGGCTTCGGGGCGGGTCAGAAGGAGTGTGGGGTGAAGCTCGGAAGATGTGGGGTCTCTGGCTGGCTTGCTCTGGGCCCCACGTGGGATGCCTGTGCTGGCGTTTCTGCCTGCGGCCCCTCGAATCCATCACGAGCAGCGCGACCGCAGCGCCGCTCTACCAACCAGGCAAACTCGAGCCTACGTCCACCTGAGCTCTCAGGAGCAAGGCTGGGCCGGCTCCAGGCCCACAGCTTTCAATACCTGACCGGGTGGAGCCCGAACTTGCCTTTCTAACAGGTTCCCAGGTGCGGCAGGTCAGGAACGCACGTAGAGACCCACCGCACCAGAGCCGCTGCCCAGAAGGAGGTTCTGGGTTCCGGGGCGGCGAGGCTGACACCACGCACTCTCGGTGCTCCGACCTCTGTCCTCCCGTCGGTGCTCCCACCGAGGCTGCCAGGTGCTTCCCCCTCCGCAGCTCCTCCCCGCCGCCGCGCGGCGCGCTCCCGGGACCCCCACGCGCCAGGAGACCCGGGCCCGCCCTCCCCGGAGCAGAGGCCCGGGGAAGCGTGAGGCGGAGAACCGGGTGCTCTTCCCCGGCCGGGCTGCCGCCCGGCCCCCGCTCTGGACGCGCGCCGCTGGCAGAGCCGGCCGCTCCGGAGGCGCGCGGCGGCGGGGGCGGTGCTCCCGGGGGCGCGGCGCACCTTGCTCCCGCGCCCCCGCCCCGCGCCGGCCCCTCCCCGCGGCCCGCGCCCCCGCCCGCCTGGGTCCGTTCCAGCCCCTTCTGCCGTTCCGGCCCGGCCGCTGTCCTCCGCCGGCCCGCGACGGAGGACGATGGGTCAGCGCGGAAAAAGTGAATGAGGGCCGCGGCGGCGGCAGCGAGCGCCTGACTCGCGGGGCCCGAGCGCCGCCCGCGCCCGGCCTCGCCCGCCGACTCCATGGACGCGTCGCGAGCCTCGGCGGCCAAGCCCCCGACCGGGTAAGCCGCCCTGGGCTCCCCTCGCCTCGCGCGCCGGCGCCCGCGCGGCGAGCACTCGGGACGGGGCGCCCCTTTCGGGGCCGCGAGCACGCGCCCGGCGGGGGAAGGGAGTTGTGTACTTTGGGCGCTCAGGTCGTTGCCCGGGTAACAGTGTCAGTCCGCGGCCCCGGCGCTTTTCGCGTATGTGCGTTTGTGTGCGCGCTCGTTTTGGGGATTGTGCGCTCCCTTTTGGGGGTCCCCGCGGGCGGAGCCCCACGCTTTCCCTGCCACCCGACAGAGCTCCCCCTGCGGGAGGGGAGGAAGGCGGTGGAGAGCGGCCCGGGCCCCAGCCCTGTCGCTGACTTGCCCCTTGGGTGACTGTGTCCCAGTCTGTCAGCCCGCCCCACCGCCCGCTCCTCCTCCCCCCAAAAGGAAGGGCACAGGGTGCCGCGGTCTCGGGAAGGCTGTGCAGGGCACTGCCCTGGAGGTTTTCTGCTGCTCCCCTCCCTGGCTGGCTTTTCGGGGCTCCTCAGAACAGGGCACTGGCAAGTGACCCGGGCCTGCCCCGGGGACCCCAGCATCTCACTAAAGTTGGGGCTCCCATCCCTGCCGGCGCGGCCGCTCCTCTTGCCCAGCCCTTCGCGGGGTCTGTTTTCCATCCCACAACTCGTGTGTGCGGATTACAGGTCACGTTCCTATTCTACTCGTTGAAAGAGTAACTTCCCTAATAAAAGAAGAATGACCCCGCTCTTTAACCAGATCCCGAGCTGGAGTTGGAACCGTGCGGGACCCCCGCCGGGCCAGGTGGCCTGCGCACAGCGCCCAGGGCGTCGCGCGCTCGGCTTGCCAGGGCGGTGCGTCCCCGCGGGGCGCACCCAGGACCTGCGAGCTGTCTCAAGGGCCTGGAGCGAGTGTGGGATGAGTCCTGCGAATGGAATGAGTGCCCGGGTGGGCCCTGCACCTGCTTACCGAAGGGGCCACTCTCCACTCTAGCAACTGGTCTCCAGTGAGGCAGCTCTGGGGACAACTAATCTCTCTCATTGCACTGCGTCCCGTTGACTCATCCTGCCCGCGCACTCACAGGCCGCGCTGCTGCCCAAGTGCGCAAAAGGTTTTCAAAAACTGCGCTTTTCTTTTTTAACTCTGCCCTTAATGCCAGGAAAAAGTGAGCCAGGTTAGCAAATCAAATAATCCTGAAGCCGAGGAATGTTAAAAGGAACTTTTTTTTTTTTTTTTTGCTGTGCGCTTAGTGGCGGTTATGTAATTCCCTTTGAACAAACAAATCTCCCCCAAAGAAAAGAAATGTGGAAGGTCCTTTTTCATGGTAGTGGGCATCGCAAAATGACATCGAGAAATGTGAAACAGAATTGCTGCTAATCTGTCTCCATTGGAGAGGTTATTTAATGAGTCTGTTTACGAGACCAGAATCCTTTTGGCAAAACTATCTTATATTTGAAGAGGTCAGCAAACATTTAAGAGGTCAACAAACATTTAAGAGGTCAGCAAAATTGTATCCAAAAAGTACTTGTAAAATCCTTTAAAAGAATCTGATTGTAGAAGTGAAATGGGGATTCCTAAACTTGGGACACTGTTTCCAGGGTGGTATTGTGTAAGCAAGAAGTTAGTCACCGCCACCCCCCACCCCCGCCCAGCCTGGTTCGTGGTGCTTTGCAGACCTCTGGCCTTCATGTCCAAGCCCCCCACCCCCTGACCCCGGAGAGACTCGGGGCTTTTGCTAGATAGGGTAACAAACCTGAGATTGTTTTTCTTGATGGGTTTGACTCTTTCCTCACACTCACATGCGGAGCCTCCTGTTGTCTTATATGAACATCTTTGACCAAGAAATGCGGACATAATGTTTTAAAATCTCTTATTCTCAATTATTGTATCATTTGTTTTAGTACCTTTTAGTGAACAGATGCCAACCAAATACAGCATGCTTAAAATCAGAGGGCAGAAATGGTCTTTTTTTTTTTAATGTTTTATATAATTTAGGTGTATTGGTTGCCTATCAGAAAGGAAAGATATAGATGTGAAATTTCTGGCCTTGGTACATTATTGGTGGCAATCAGCTTCTGTTGGTTCTTCACCGAAATTACCATCTCCTCTGACCTGATCCTGTGCTGCCTAAGAATAAGGTAGTGCCTGCCACGTGCTCTATGCTCCGGGGAATATGTTTTTCTCTGATACTGCCATGATTGATTAGCTAACCCCCCTTTCATTAAGCTATTACTTTTCCACACCATAGCAGACGACTGATGTGATGGATTTGTTGTCCTTCACTGAGACTGGCATTTGCCTTGTGTTATGTAGAAATGAGCTGGATGGGGACAATGAATTAAGGACATGTAACCTTATAAAATGACGTGTATGACAGTCCTTCTTGAGAATTACTGAAGGGCCAGAGACATTAGTGAATGTAAACTCACTGACTGTATGTCTGCCTAATTTATTAATACATAGTTATTAGTTACCTTTGTTGAGAACACAAGTATACATTTTATTTGGATGGGAATTTAGGTTCTTACTAGTGATTTCATTAAAACCATATCTTAGGGCTAACTTAATTTCAAACGGTTGGGAGAAAGTATTCTTTTAGGAACGGGGACATAGGCAAAAACTAACCGGTCAGACCATGTGACTTTTCAAGAATTTCAGACTCTAGTTGAGGTATACTAATTGATGGACTATTCTAGAATGCAAGTAAAAGTAAATTACCTTTGAGTAAAGTTTTAAAATATCTCCAAGTCCATTTAAGGCAAAGTTTATTGGCTTACTTTTAGTTGTCTGTTTGAGTATTTGTGAGATCTACTGCAGTAGTTCAACCCATTCCACTATTCTTGTTTGAAAAATCTCATGAATAGGGGAGACTACAACCCATGGAGTCACAAAGAGTCAGACATGACTGAGCAACTACGCACGCATGCATACACCCACATCCCAGTAGTTGGTTATGGACATAGGATTAAATTTCCCACTAGAGCTGGTAGGAACAAGAGGCAGCATATTGGTGAGTTTGGCAGGATAGTAGTTAATTTTTATTTTTTCCCCTGTGGTGGAAATGCGTGTTTCTGTAGGATAAAATAGTCTCCAGTGACATGAAATGTCTAAACAGCTGGTGCCTTTGCGCATTGGCTTCATTCAGGAGTGTGCTTGTGTGAATATCAGTGGTAGTTTGTGAGTCAGTTTCACCCGAGTGTGTGCTCCCTGGAGACATAGCTGGTATTCCCTTCTCTGCATAAATTTGTCATTACTTAATCAACTTATTAGAACATGAAATAATTTTAAAGATATTAATCGAAGTGGGTAACTTGAGCTTCTTGAATCCTGTTGACACCAAACATGCCGCTAATTATGGGAGGCCTGCTCCTCCTGACAGTGAACTTGTGTGGCCACCTTGGCATTCTCTACCTTATCTCTCACGAGCTTGCAAAGATAGTGAAATATTAGCAGGTATGCTCTGTAAAAACAAGTTTAGGCTTCTGCCCCTCCCCTCCTTTCTTAAGGTTTCTAGGCTTTCAGCTAACCTGTTAGAAAGTTGTTTACGTGCTTAGAAATGACAGCTTGAGTGATTATTTGCTACATTAAAATTTTCCCATTCAATTTGGGCTTTTTTTTAAGATGTTACTTCTGAGCTGTTCTTTAAGTCAGTAGTTCATTTAAGGACATTAAAATTCATTCTTGTCTGATGTAAGATGGAGAGGAGATCTCAGAATTTTATTCTTTTGTAATAATAGTTTTTCTTACTATTTTTTTTAGCACATTAGAGGAGTTTAATATTTCCCTGTTACAATAGCAGATAATCTTAGAGCATTGTAAGTATTTCTCAGTGGTCATGTGATGGAGCTGAAGCTGATATGTGATTAAATTCGGTGTGAAGGTGTTTGTACCAGGCTCGGCAGCCCGCGGCTCCACCTCTGTCCCTCCCTGCTGACTTTTCCTGGTGCCAGCGGATCAGATTATTATTAGGTAGATCCAGGCGAGTGACACCCCCATGGGCATGCAGGTCTGGGTCTGGTGGCCTCTTTAATTTGGGACCTGGGGCGTGAAGTAATAATTTGTGAACACCTCTATGTGCTTCCATAATTATTAGGGAAGCAGCAATTGTGGGTTGTCTGCACACCAATGAGTACTTTAGGTTTCTAGGCCTTTTGTGCTTTGCTGTTAAATTTAAATTTGTAATTGGTCGTACGTTTTAAAAGTGAGCAGAGATGTTTGACACCAGAGTAGTGTTTAGATTGAAATTGTGCAAATTTAAAACATAGGAACACTTGATTGTGAGGTAGGTCTGAATGAAGTAAAAGTGTTCAGTGTATTTACATGTGTATTTCCAGCACCCGTTTATTCTCTCCCCATCTGCATTTAATTGTGGGGTCTGTGGATTGTCTGTGTTGGATAATTTTAGTTGTAAATTTTTTTTCAGTTACTTTATACTGTAACAGAACATAGATTTGGTATTTCATGATTCACTTAAGGCTTTTATATATCTTCATCTTTGTATTTTTTTCTCCAGTTAAACTAGTTAATATTGATTTGTATTATTGACATATTGATACTATACCTTCTTACTATTTTTCAATTTTCATTTAAGCGAATTCCACCCCCCTCCACCTTATACCTTTGTTTTCTCACTTTCACCTTGTCACTGGAGTGTTCATCTTCCAGGACCACTTGCTGGCTTTCAGCACCTGAATTGACGACAGCGTCATCAACTTTATCACTTTTCCTTCATGTTTCCATAATTCTTTATTTTTGATTCGTCTCTCCCAGCTATAGTATTCAGGGTTTTTCTCGCTTGTACTTTATATGGTTTCATTTGCTTTTATACAAAGCTAATGATGGTAACTTTTTTTCAAGACCTGATGGTGTTTGTTCTTTTTTTTAAAATTGAGATATACTTGTTTTGCAATATTGTTAGTTTCTGCTGTAAAATGAAGTGAATCAGCTGTTGTTGTTCGGTTGCTAAGTTGTGTCTGACTCTCTGTGACCTCGTGGACTACAGCACTCCAGGTTCCCCCGTC